CCCCCCGGCTACCTGCTCTTCCCCGGGCTGCATGAGCAGAGCGCCGGGCACCCGTCGCCCACCGGGCACGTCGACAACAACCAGGTCCACCTGGGGCTGCGCGGGGAGCTGTTCGGTCGCGCCGACCCGTACCGCCCGGTGGCCAGCCCGCGCACGGACCCCTATGCAGCGGGCGCGCAGTTCCCCAACTACAGCCCCATGAACATGAACATGGGCGTGAACGTGGCGGCCCACCACGGGCCCGGCGCCTTTTTCCGTTACATGAGGCAGCCCATCAAGCAGGAGCTGTCGTGCAAGTGGATCGACGAGGCTCAGCTCAGCCGGCCCAAGAAGAGCTGCGACCGGACCTTCAGCACCATGCACGAGCTGGTGACACACGTCACCATGGAGCATGTGGGGGGCCCGGAGCAGAACAACCACGTCTGCTACTGGGAGGAGTGCCCCCGCGAGGGCAAGTCCTTCAAGGCGAAGTACAAACTGGTCAACCACATCCGAGTGCACACGGGCGAGAAGCCCTTCCCGTGCCCCTTCCCGGGCTGCGGGAAGATCTTCGCGCGCTCCGAAAACCTCAAGATCCACAAGAGGACCCACACAGGTAAGGGGGCGGGCAGACGGGCGCGGGACTCCCGGAGCGGACTCACAGCACGCGGGACAGAGGGTTGGCGGCCCAGGAGAGAAGGGGCGGCGCCCGGGAAGGCTGGTCGGAAGAGCGGCGCGCTGTCAGCACCCCTCCACCCTCGCCCGCCCCGCGGCGCTTTGGCCCACTTCTAACTTCCCGGGCATAGGGCTCTGAGCTCTCCGGGGAACTAATTGGGGACCTTCTCGCGCCCAGGACCAAGCTTGGCGCCGCCTCTTTTTGTCTTCCTTTCTGAGTTACTCTGAAGGGACTCCGAATGGGTAGAGCGTATTGGTGACGAGCGCCTTAGCTCTCGGCGCACATTCGAGGAAGGCGACCATAGAAATGCTAATGAAAAGTAACTTTCAGTTACTTCCGCTCTTTTTTACACTTGATTGGCACGTCTCCTAATTAAATGACTGATACTTTTGTCAAACTATTTTTATTTGGAGTTCCAGGTTCAGTCCAGTCCTCCAGGAGGAAAGCTCAACTAGAAAAGGCACCACGGTTTCCTGCCTTGTTCAGGACATCTTGTAAAACTGTTCGAAGCCCTTGGATTTACACACTTTTCTCTTTTCGAACGTTAAGTACGACTACCCAGGCTTTTTAACGCTGGCCTCACTTAGAAAAACTCTGCATTAGAAAGAGGCAAATTAAAAGGTACAAAGAAGGCACTCAGTGGGATGGTCCCGGCCCTGGCCCATTGTCCCGCCGGGGCTCGGTTACCTCGCCAAGGTGGCGGTGGAATGTGGCAGGGAGCTCTGGGCCAGGCGGGGTCGAACCGCAACTTAGGGGGAAACTTCGGAGGAGCCCGGAGCTTTCTAGCCCCGCGAGAACAAAGGGCCGGGCAGGTCCTGGGCCGGCCCTGCCCCATCCCGGCCCCCGACCACCGCTCCCCGGCCAGGCGGGCGCGTCTGGCGCGCTTCATTTTTCTCCAGGGAAAATAGATGCCGCAGCCGCCCCCAGTCGGCGCTCCCTCTCCGGGAAGACCGCCGGGTGCGCAGTCTCCCGCGACTCGGCCTGGGAAGCGCCGGGCTCTGACGGGATCCCCCCACCCCCTTTGCGTGTTTCCCTCTTGCAGGTGAGAAACCTTTCAAATGTGAATTTGAAGGCTGTGACAGACGCTTCGCTAACAGCAGCGACCGCAAGAAGCACATGCATGTGCACACCTCGGACAAGCCCTATATCTGCAAAGTGTGCGACAAGTCGTACACGCACCCGAGCTCCCTGCGCAAACACATGAAGGTAATTACCTCTTTATTAGCGGTCGGCGGTTTATAAACACTCGGCCCCGGGCCCGGCCGCGGAACGGAAGCGTCCGTGCTGCCAGCCCTCTATCCTCCACGTTAAATCCGATTTGCTCCAGCGGTGACACCTTGAACCCATTTTGGGGACCCGGAGGGGGGTGGAGGAGGAGGAGGAAGCGGAGGGAACAATCGGTTGTTTACTGGAAAGCTCTAGCCGAGCTCGCCAGGCTCCCGCGGCAGCGGCGGCGGCGGCGGCCGCCGCCTCTTCCCGGCTCAGCCCGCGGTGGGACCCGAGAGTGGCCGCGCCAATCCCGGGGCAGAGGGTTTATTCGCTCTTTGGCTTCGAATAAAACAATAGCGCCGGGGCGAGCGCGCTGCTTCGCACGCGCTTGTGTGAGACTCCGCAGCGCCCAGGCCCCGGGGCCACTCTCGGGACCCGCTTTCCTAGGCCCAAACAGGCTTGGGGGAAGCTGGGCCCGGAGAATTTGATAGGGCCCCGGAGAGTAGCTGCGTACCCCACTCCACCCGCTGAGAAGGCATTCTGTAAAAGGGCGTGAGTAAAACGGCCCGTTTTATTCCTTTTTTCCAAAATGCCTGTCTTCGGACTGCAAGTGTTTGGTTTGCGAGTATCTCTGGGGTTTCCAGATATCGATGATAAGGAAATTTGAAAAAAAGAAAACAAAACCACCCCAGCCTTTCTCTTTTAAGTGGGTCACTGGGCGGTCTTGGTCTCACAGGGCTCGAATTCTGCTCTGTTTTTGCTTGCTCATTGCCAGTTGGAATTATGTTCATTATAATATATACATGTTAATTTTAGGTTCATGAATCTCAAGGGTCAGATTCCTCCCCTGCTGCCAGTTCAGGCTATGAATCTTCCACTCCACCCGCTATAGCTTCTGCAAACAGTAAAGATACCACTAAAACCCCTTCTGCAGTTCAACCTAGCACCAGCCACAACCCTGGACTTCCTCCCAATTTTAACGAATGGTACGTCTGAGGACACACACAAACCCTGTTATCCATAGAATGGACCAAATGCATATTAAAAAGAAAACTGAGACCAATCAGATGGAAATGGCGTTGTAAGGCAAGCAGCCACATACAGGGCTACATCTTGTTCATTGCAGTTATCCAGGAAGGTTTGGGGCAAGATCCAAAAGTAACCATGCCCTTTTCTCAGGATTAGAAAACATGTTTCGGCATTTGAAGGATTGGAAAAAAAAATCTTTAAACTGCTTCCCCCCCCCTTCTCTGCTCTCTGCCCACCCCCTCCCTAAATGCCTGCAATTCATTTTAACACTTGTCCTATATCTTGAGAGGAAGTTAGAGCAGGTTTGGTGGTGGTGCTCATGTTAAACTGATGAAAATTATTCTTCGCCTTAGTGGTGACTGTTTAAACGCTCACAGTCAGTCTTAAACCGTGCCAAAGTCCTGTTATGTCTTGAACTTTTCCTCATAGCATTACACTTGTGAATGTATTTTTGTCTCATGGGGTCGAAACTGTTGTTCAGCATTTTTGCGGGCTGAGGATGTGATGTTACTCCACACAGATTGTGACGTTTAGTATGCAGCTGCCTTTTGTAATAACTTTTTTTTTTTGTAAATACATATCCATTGATGCCATATTTATCATTTGTAATTTAATTATTGCTACAAGTGCCGGGAACTGAACAATATTTATGGATAAATGTTTTCTAACAAATTCTGTACAGCTTTTGATTATAACTGCTTTAGCATTAAAATTTTATTGTTTTGAAAGAAGAACACAATTTCCCATTTTTGAACCACTGACTCCTCCTTTCTCTTGTTTTGTAACAGCCTCCTCCTACAAAGAGGAGACGGGAGCAAACTAAGTCTTGTTTGTTGGTATTTATAACTCACTCAGATCCCTTTTTAAATTGTTAAATTATTTTTCTATTACCGTCTAGCTTCTGTACAGTGTCAGTTTCCATCTTTAGCTCAGATGGTTGTTTAACTGCGAGTTTAAGTGTGTTTGTCCTGGATTTTCGGCATGCAAATCAAATGTTACTGATCAATTCAGTTAGTGGCCATGACATCTCAATCTTGTACTTCAAAGACTGAGAAGCTGGATTTAATCATCCCTGCCTACATATGTAAACATAAGGTAACCTAATGAGTTTTATGTCCCTTAGTTCTTTATTACCTTACATAAAAACGAACATTGTGGCAGGATGCATGTCTGTCGATTCTATCTAGAGGTCACCCATATACCTATATATGTTTGTATCTATGACTTATCTAATCTGCCTATCCAATCTATCTAGCTGTCTATATATTTTCAAAAGATGGCGTATGTCTGGAACATTGGCAATGAGTAAGGCCAGTTGAGCAGTGCTTACTTATGGTTAAAGTGCTTCTTAAAAGAACCCTAGTCCATTTACAATTTCTCAAAGCAAAGACTGATTTGTTTTGCTGTATATAGTTCAATTCATAATTATCACAATTATTCATAACATTTATATAGCAGTGTAATAACTGCAGCGGTTCTGAAATACTATGGAAAGGAAAACATTTGCAAAATATGTATTTTTCAAAGTTCGTGGTTTGTAGGCAAAAATGTTAAGAGCATTGTTTCCATTAAAATCAGTAACAATGAAAAATGGTTGTTTGCTTTGTGATAAACTATTAATCCAATTAATCTTCCTTCAGTGAAGCAACTCATTTGGACAAGCAGTTCTTTTACAATGGTAATTTCAAAAAGAAACTAATAGATCGCTATTGGTAAAGAGGGGGTTGGAGCGGATAGAATACTGAGAGACCTTTTTATTAATTAATTTAGGGTGCTGTTTAATATTGAGAGCCCAATCTCTGCATGAATAATGAGCTTGCAGGTTAGCAGATAGAAAGGTGGAGAGAAGGAATTGCATTTAGTAATGTAACGACTATGCTCAAGCACCTCCTTCACTTTATAAGGGGCCATGCTCTCTGTTTTGGTGACAGTTTGGTATTATAATCATTTTTAATTCTAGAATTTTGTCCATGGTTCTTTTTAAAGAAATAAAGTCTTGGCACATCTTATTTACATTACAACATTTTTGTTATTCGGTGCCCTTTTTCTTCCCCCCATGTTAAAATAAATCAACCATAAATTGAAATGCTCAGAGAACTTCTGATGATTAAAAGAAGCTTTGATTCCCTGGATACAGTGGAAGGAATCTATTTTTTTCCCCAAAGTTACCTACTCATCTATGTCAGCAACAAATTAATTATTGACAGTTTGTGATTTGTAAATTGCTTTGGAGGCAACTTTTTTTTGTTTGGAAATTGGGAGCTTTTTGCACTCTCCTCCACCAGTAGCCAAGGCAAGGGCCCGAGTGCTGTGAAGAGAGATTGGGACAAATCCACATGTGATGAGCGGGTAACCTGGTCAGCCTACTTCCAACATTCCAATCTTGACCTTGACATTGAGGGTGCTAGACCAAATTCTTGTTTCACTGTTTTCCCTCACTTCAAACCAGAGACCATTTAAAATGCTCAGCGAGTTTTCAGAAAGTGCACATTGGTAAGAGTGGTGCTCCAATGTGAAATTAGAACAGTGTTATTTTCCCCTGAAATATGCACTGAGCTCCCCGAGTTTACTATTCCCTCCATGAGTAACCCCCCCCAGCCTAACCTAACATTACATGGGAGTGGAGTGATGGATTGGTTATAAGATTTTTCACTCATACTTACTCTCCACCCCCACCCCCAACATCTCCTTCAGAGACATAAAAAATACTTTTTTCTTTCTTCAGTGAGCTTGAAATTTGTAAACCATCATGTGTATCCTAAAATCATGGCAATTGATAGCAGTGATGATAACCAATATTAAGAGAATGTGAAAGATTATTTCTAATTGGGGGCAATACTGTTTTTTCTCAAATACTGTATGTTCTCTCCCCATGTCATTTGTGGCAAAGAAAACGACACTGATGGGAGACTCAGATTTTCTGCTTCCTGTAATCTACCTCTGAGAAAGCACACTTATATTCTTGCATTTGTAGTAAAATACCATAGACAGTAAGCATCCCCCCCCCAAAAAAAAATCACAAGGAAAAAAATAACAAAACACAAACCCAACAACCTTACGACTCTCAAGGATCGGATCAACTGGAAACCATAACGTCTGTGAAGCCCCGGCAAGGCGTAGTGAGATTTACCTAGTATTGTCTATCTTGCACCTGGCAAGACCAAAGTCCATATCCTTTTCAAAATGTGATTTAACATAAGATTCTCAGTGTTGGGTGGGGAAGAGGGAGGTGTCAAATTCTCAAACTCGGGCCACGCAGACAGAAGTCTAGCCCTTAATGCTAAAGATCAGGGTCCAGGCTAAGCAGGAAAGCCGGGCTTCGCTACTGCGACGGTAGGGGACCTTCGAGCGGGGCCTCGGCGCGGCTCACAAAGGCTCCCAGGAAAGTTGGTGTGTTCGAGACTTGCTCGCCCCTCCCCCTTTCTACCTTCTCACCGCCTGCCGTCTCTTCGCCTTTCGGCCTGGCAGCCCCTCAATCCCTCCTACTCCCGAGGAGAGGAAAAAAAAAAAAAAAAAAGCTCCATGAACGAACGGAAAAGGCGGAAGAGCCTCTTTCCACTTAAGTTTCTGCAGGCATCGCCACTGGCGTGCCTGGCTGTGCTGGTTTGCTCCCTGGCTTCTGGCCCTGGAGGCCCGAATCAGGCTTGGCCCGGCTTTCGGAAGTCGGTGCCCCCGCTAGGCAGCCCTCAGCCCCCTCGGGCACGCAGGGTCCCCGTTGGCAATCGCAAGTTCCTGCAACTTGCGCTGGAGGC